GATTAATCGATTATCAAAATAATCGTTTGTTGCAGCCCTATTCATTGTTGCTGTATTTACAGTGTTTTATAATTGCTTTGTTATTTGTAACTTGCCGTTTTGTGACATCTGGAGTTCATTTTCTACCCAAAAATGATATTCATACTCAAAAATGATTCATTGAATGTTACCGGTATTGTTTAGGCCTACCAAGTATTGAGATCTCTGTGGTGTGTGTATGTTGTCTTGTCCATACATTACGTAATGTATTATTACTTAGATTTTCCAAATAAAAATGTACCTTTAATAGCATGGCTTAATTCAATGGTGTATGGGCTATATGCACGCATAAGTTCCGCATTTGACGTAAGGATGCTCGTCCATTTCCGGTTGTGTAGATTAAAGCGGAGGAAAACCGGAGAAAACGGGATTATGGCAGAGTCTTCAATATTTACTGTCCTCCCGTCTTTGAAACGAAACGAACATACGTTTAGATGTAATTTTATATATAGTTATGTTTATTTAATATAATTTTAAAAAGAAGCATAAACACAACGAGGGGTGTCTGTTTTATCTGTTTTTGTGACTAACGTTTCATTAGTATAACCATGGAGTATAAAATTCAATATAAATTCTCGGTATTGCATTGGACTCTATGATCGGCGGAAGTTATCGAGCATCCTTAATCCTTCACCGGAAATAACGCCGTGCATAGAGCCCATTGTTTGAGTAAAATGTAGCAAATTTACCAAGCAAAGTAAAAATTACTCAAACTTTTATTGGCCAAGTTAAAGTTACTTACATCATTTTACTTTTTTCTATATGTAAAATTAAAACTTGCAGAACAAAATGAAGTAAATTGTGTGTATTTTTTGTTCAGTAGAATGTATCCATGCTGAATAAAAAGCATTAATTTCCTCAACTGTAAAATCCAACAGTGATTCGAACTAAAACTTTTTAGTTAACTTTACTTAATGTCTTAACTTAATTGTAAAATTCTAGTAAATTGTACTATTCAACTATTATACTTTGTTTACTCAGAAAACCCAAGTTAAGATTAATTGATTGGTTTGAGTGCAGTTTTTGAGGCGGGGGAATTCATAATGGACTGTACACTCATGACTCATTTCCTCCACTTCTGCAGTTAATTTTCTCTGTTTGCATTTCCTCATGTCCCAAAGTTATCTTGAACTGTCAATACAACTGAACATTTTTAGAGAACATCACATAAGTTGAGTTCATGAATTGATGTTGAATTTCCTCAAATATTTGTATCATTATGGTGATTAGTGTTCCCTTTGGTTGGGCACTTGGAATCGGTTTCCTCATTATTTTCTAAGTAAAGTCACTTTAATACTCAAATAAAATAAGCCTAAAACAAAAGTAAAAGACTTAGCCCCTCACGGACAACTGCTGTCACATCTACTAAAACAAACAAAAAACAAAACAAATCCAGGCCTGGCCTCTCTCCATCTCCACTGTCCTCCCTCAGCCCTCGGCCTGCTCACCACAGTTAGTTAATATAATAATGTAGTTTTAAGGAACTCAGAAATTATAGGTAATAGATGTTTGAAACTAGACTTTTCACACTAGACTTAACCTTACTGAAAAACTGTCTGAGCGACCACTTCCTTATTATAACAGTTCGACTGTTATGTACCACTGTTTGATTCATTTTTATTTAACATTTTTCATGTCAATCCTTAAATTTTTGTTTGCTCTTTTTCTAGCTAATTTGTACAGTATAGAAGCAAATCCATTTCATTACGATGACACAAATTTGGAAAAACAGTAAGTCTGTAAAGGTCATTTAAGTCCAGATCTTCATTATACTGAATAAAAATGTATTCAGACTAAAATAAATGACTTTTTCCATTACAGGGAAAACAAAGTTCATCACATAAACCTGAATGAGAAACCACCCTTACCTCCCAGAGATCAATTCATGTCCATGGAATCTGGTCAGTTTGTTTTTTATAGATGCGTTAATTTACTTCACTCTTTAGCCCTGCAATAACATACAGCTTTTGTTATGTCTGAACTCAAGATAATGCTCGTTGTTATGGGAAGAAGGAGGCAGGAAGAAATAAATAAACAAATACAAAACGAAAGTAAAAGCAGGAGTCACATATAATAAAAAAGAAACAAAATAAAGTCCAGGCCTGTCCTCTCTCATCCTTCACTGTCGACTCGTCACTCCTCCTTTTATGCTTCCGCTCCTCCGTGAGAGATACGAGACCGGTGCGTCGTGCAGGTGTCACTCATTATCAATCACGCCACCGGCCTCACGCCATTCTCTCTCGGCCCTCGGCCTCGCCCTGCTCGTCACATTCATCCCTTTCGGAATCTTAGTGATGAACTGTTCCAGGATCAACCGACGATGTGGACTCTGCTTGAAACCACTGGCGGCACGCGTTGTGGTGCTGCTGGGCTATAATGAATGGCCGGCCGCTCTCCCCCAGCTCAACGGACTGAAGATGTTGCTCTGGGGTGTGGCCAACTTTCTGTAAAATGGGGTACTTGACGTCACCATTTACCAGGAGGTTCTGCATGGGCAACAACCTGGGCTTTCCTGGACAACATCAGGAAGATGCACATTGTGTCATTGTGGTCATTGTGTGCACAGCCATCCACATACCACATTGGCTCATCAAGTTCCGCAACATCTGCAGATCCCCCTCCTTGGCCCGGAGGAGTAGGCAGAAGTGGTCCTCTTGCTCCATTATCATGTCCAAGAGGGCCTAATGAAGTTCTCCTTCCAGGTTGTCAGCACCGACAAACGCAGACAATCACCAGATTATATATGTCACTTCTCAGACATTCCACGACCCGACAAGTGCCAATTTAGCATGTTCAATCAAGCTCTAACACGCTGATCTGACAAAATCTGACAAAGTGTCTGTTGCCATCTGTCAGAGTGAATTGGCCCTAATGTGTTTGAACTTAAGGGAAGGAGAAGTCCGTTTCGGCAAGAGGACTTTCTAAAGATTTATTTTAAAGTAGTTCACTTTTGAAAAAACTTTTGCCGATAATTTAGTCACCCCCATGTCATCCAAGATGTCCGTGACTTTCTTTCTTCAGTCGAAAAGAAATTAAGGTTTTTGATGAAATCATTCCAGGATTTTTCTCCATATAATGGACTTCAGTGGGAACCAAACGGTTCAAGGTCCGAAAGACACTTTCAGTGCAAACTGTTCAAAGGGCTTTAAACGATTCCAGACGATGAATAAGGGTCTTATCAAGCAAAACGATCGCTCATTTAATAAATAAATAACAAAGTTTAAGTTTTATAAGCTCAAATGCTCTGTTCTGTGATGCACGTTTGAGACTCTCCTGTTCGAACTCGTTCATCAAAATGAACAAATCTTTTTCCAAGTCAATTCGTTCGTTTCATTCGTTGAATGATCCAAATGACTCGGAAAAAGATTAGTTTATTTTGATGAATGAGTTCAAAAAGGAGAGTCACAAATGTGCATCACAGAGCATTTGAGCTTATAAAACTTAAACTTTGTTATTTATTTATTAAATGAGGGATCATTTCACTTGATAAGACCCTTATTCGTCGTCTGGAATCGTTTAAAGCCCTTTGAACAGTTTGCATTTTGCACTGAAACTGTCTTTTGGACCTTGAACCGTTTGGTTCCCACTGAAGAGCATTATATGGAGAAAAATCCTGGAATGTTTTCATCAAAAATCCTAATTTCTTTTCAACTGAAGAAAGAATGACATGGGGTGAGTAAATGATCAGCAAAAGTTTTTTTCAAAAGTGAACTTCTCCTTTAACTCTTTAAGTTTTGTGGCTTTAGTACACATGAATTACATGCTAGGGTACTCCTAAATGTTGGGAGAAAAACATCTTTTAGCATATACACATTTTAAATTGAGTTTTTCCTTTCCAGAAAAACTGATAAAAAAAAATTGATTACTTATGTTTCACTTGTTATGTATTCAATTGTTTATCCAATCAAATGCTTTCTAGAATGAGAATGGCCTTCCTTCAATACCACCCGCCTCTGACTAACAATTGTTTATTGTGGCCAGTTCATGACCATGCCAAAAAGAACCAACTCACACTACGCTCTCCCAGCTAATTAAATGCCAAGACCGTTATAGCAATCCAAAGTCTATACTCTAAAAAAAAATCTATTGTAAACAGGAGATAAAGTTCAACTTTTCGGCTGATTTACGGCAAAGAGCAGAAATGTTTGTTAACTTGACCTCCTGTTTACAAGAAAACATTTTAAATTGCTGACTTTAGCACTTTTGGATTGATTTATATCTATTTTTTTTTTCATGACAAAAAAAAAAAAGACAAATTTTTCAATATTTAACAGAGGGGAAAAAAAAACTTATGCTTTCATACTTCTTTCTCTCAGCATATTGCAATAAGCAAAAACCCTCTGCAAAAGAAATGTAACCGGTTTGATATGTTCAAATTTCCAGTGGATAGTTATGAGAATGTGGAGCCCGTGCCGGACTATATTGAGGTTGAGGAAACAACACCTCCTGCACCCCAAAAACCCATCTTCATGCCAGACTACACGCCAGACGAGAAAAATAGCCAAGATCAAGACAGCGAGGATTACGATGACGTTGACAGCCCTGCTAACTGCGACAGTGATGAAGATTATGATGACGTAAAGTAAAAGACGCAAAATCAACAGTGGCTCTACCTACAACTGAGACACATGATATGAGAAGGCCTAGAAACATATTTCCTACAAAGTACTACTCTATAATATTTAAACAGAAGTACTAATAGCAAGTAACCTGCGTTTACTTTCATTTATGTAAAGCGATCTTTCACTTCCCATTAGAAATCCAATTTATCTTCCGAAAACGTCATTTTCTGTTGAAGTACAATATTGCTTGGAAGTGGTTGTGCAAAGATGAGGATGGAACTTTATCGTATTGCCTATAAATGATATTTGCACTAACAAGTTTCATGTCTGATTTTACAGTGTGCATTTTTCTTTTATCCCTGTAAATCTGTGAACTTGAACACAATCAAGCAGTACTCAAACTTTTTACATACATTTATTCTTAAAAAAAGAAAAGAAAACAAGTAAAATGGTGACGATCAATAGATATTTCTCTTTCACAGCTGCTCGATTTGTGATCACTGTTGTGCAGGGCAGCAACATGGCAAAAGTCAGTTCTTTTTAAACCCATGCCCACAGTCAGAGGAGCATTATGGGACACAAACTGCAAGTGTCCCTTTTGCTCGATGAGTAGAGCTCACGTTCTTTTGTACACAAGAGAAACAAGTAGAAAATATATTTTCTTTCTCTTGCTCTCAGAGATGTCCATTAATCGGCAGGCACACGGGTGCTGAGACTAGCCTCCTAGTTGCTGACCCTCACCCCAGGCAAAGCCTCCTGGACGCTCCTCAGGGAGAGGGTTGTAGTTGGCATCTTCCTCGGGTGTATCAAAGAGCATCTTACTGGAAAGGTTGAAAAAAAGGGGGGTTTTACTTCAAAGTAAAGTCAAATATTAACTAGAGGTTTTTATTTGATTGTTTTTGGGATTGAAAAAAGGATAAAAATGGCACACCAATCAACAATTTGAGATCGGCACAATATTATATTTTTGAAAAGAGTCTCTTTTCCTCACCGCAGCAGCATTTGTTTGTTAAAAAAATACAATAAAAACTCATTTTAAAATTAAACTTTAAAATGTATTAAAATAGAAATTTTATAAAAATATAAAAATTTATTTTAAAGTTTAATATAAAAATAAAAATATGAGTTTTGTATTTTTTAATTAATGTAAATTAAATTAATAATAATTTATTTAATTTAGTGCTCTGATGCCAAAGCTGAATTTTCAGCATCATTAGTGTCACATGATCTTTCAGAAATCATTCCAAAATGATGATTTTCTGCTCAAGAAACATTTCTGCTCAAGAAATTTTATAAAAATATTAAAATTTATTTTAAAGTTTAATATAAAAATATGAGTTTATTGTATTTTTTAATTAATTTAAATTAATAATAATTTATTTAATTTATTGCTCTGATGCCAAAGCTGAATTTTCAGCATCATTAGCGTCACATGATCAGTGTCACATGATCTTTCAGAAACCATTCCAAAATGATGATTTTCTGCTCAAGAAACATTTCTTATTATTATTATTATGAATGATATTATCAACATTTTTGTGGGAACAATGACACCATTCAAACATTTAAGGTAATATTAAAAAGAGAGAGAGAAATTAATACATTTATTCATTAAGGGTGCATTACATTTATCAAAAGTCACAGTGAAGACATTTTATAATGTTACAAAAGATTTCTATTTAATAAATGCATTAATAAATGCAATAAGTGCTGTTCATTGACCTGTCAATTCATCAAAGAATCGTGAAAAAAAAAAGCATCACCATTTCCACAATAATGTTAAGCCGCAAAACTGTTCTCAACATTGATAATAATAATAATAACTTCTGTTATTATTTCTGAAGGGTCATGTGACACTGAAGACTGGAGAAATTATGCTGAAAATTCAGCTTTGAATCACAGGATTCAAATGACATTTTTAAATCTATTCAAATAGAAAACAGTTCTTTTAATTTGTAATAAAAATACAGTAAAAACAGTAATACAGTGAAATACTGATTAAATAAATGCAGCCTTGGTGAGTATAAGAGACTTCTTTCAAAAATAAATTTTAAATGTTAATGTTCCAAAACTTTTGACAGGATATATCATCGTCTTTATTTATTTGAGCATCTGGGTTCTGCAAATTTCCATATAGTAACAAGGTTCTTAGTTATATATATCGAAAGCCCCTTGACATTGTGAAGACATCATTACTCACAGGAAAGAGGGAGTCCTCAGCCATCTGCTGCCACCTGGTTGGTTGGGAAACACATCCTCTAGAAAGTAGTACACGTGTCCCACTGCAATGCCTTATATTAAAATGACAGAACATATAAACTTCATATTAAAAACTGAATTGATAATGAATAAAATTTGACCTGTTTGTAGTCAAAGCGTGTCAGCACAAGAAAAGTGAATAAATCTAACAAATCAGTAATTTTCTACCTAAAAGGTCCACAATGATGGAGTTCCCTAGCAGCAGAGAGAATCCCATGAGCACCCAAGGGAGGAAGGGCGCCTGGAAGTTCAAAAGGCCAAAGAAATTCATGCGCACGTTTGGGTTCCTCCTGCTCCAGATATACACCAACATGATGGTAAAAGCCTGACCTAAGAACACAAGAGTCACAAACGTGCCAAATATCTGCACAACTATTAAGAAAATCATTCGTATTTGAGCAAAATGTAACCCAAAGGCAAGGTTTATGTTCAGAAGTCTTGAAATAAGGGAATATTGTGTGTATATTTAACACGTTTTAGCTGATGTTTCATCACAAGATTAGACTAAACGCAAAATGAGGTCAAACAGATCATCTTTCATGGATGTTTCTATATTAGTTACTATATTAGGTTAGAGTAAGGGAAAACTCATTTTGCATTATGTAACCTTTTTACATATAATCTAAGCATATTACGATATTATGTTAATAAATAAACGCCTAAATTGGAACATTGTCTTCTATGCAATATGTATGCTCAACTATTATACTTATTTTATTCAATTCATAACCTTTTATTTACACTTATTTTTCCAAAGAAAACCAATCTTTTTCAGTCTATTTTAATCAAACGATCCTAAATGATTTTAAACTTTTCTGTTTACATTTTTTTATTATGCCTATGTACACTTAAAAGATTTGGTACAGAAACAATATTCATGCTGGTCAATTTAAAAATGTATTTCACATTGATGTTTTTTAAGTAGAAAGACTGAAGTTTGACTGACACTTTATTCTTCTGGAAACAAACTTTATTGCATTATGTATCTCTGTAAAATTGCTTTGAAACAAACTGTATTGTAAAATACATTATAAATAAAGGTGACTTGACTTGTTGAAATAGTATGTTCTTGTAAAATGCGCTCCAATAATCTTCAAAATAGTCTTTGGCAGTAGCTAAGGCTATTCTTAAGGCCTGTTCACACCAAGTAACTATTAGTGTTGTAGTCGAGACCACCTCACTCGAGACCGAGACCAGAGAGAGTCGAGTCCAAGTCGAGTCCGAGACCAGAGACGGTCGAGTCCGAGTCGAGACCGAGACCAGTGAGGGTTGATTACCTAATTTACTTTTATTTACTTAGAGAAATCCTTTTTTTTTTTTTTTTACTGAATTTACTTAGAGTTTAAAAATATGATCAGTTTAGGGTAAAAAGGCCACATAGTAGGTGGTGTTAAAAGTAATTTTATTACAATTTGTCATGCGCACTAAGTTACGCACTAGAAAATCAATCACTGGGCATGTCAATCAATTTAAAGAAATATTTTATTAACATACATTAATAATCATGAAAAATATTTTTAATTGAACTAGAGTGGACTCGGGAATAATTCCGAGTCCTAAAAAAAAAAATGTTCGAGTACGAGTCAATTCCGAGTCCAAATGGACACGAGTCCATGACAAGACCAAGACCATTAAAATATGGTCTCGAGACCGAGTCCGAGTCTCGAGTACTACAACACTGGTAACTATAAAGATAAATGAGAACTATAATAGCGTACACACGTGTGGTTGATATTATTCAGTTCATTCTATAAGTGAACGCAGTAGTTTTTAGTTTAAAGCAGGACGTATTCTAATTGGCTGTCAATGTTTTTATCGTTCATCAGCTAAAAATAATTGTTCTGCAAGTGATTCCAACAATATCACCCCTCTGTGACATTACTTTTTTAGTTGTGGTTTTGGACTCTGCTATTCTTTACATTTATCCTTAGTGTGAACAGGCCTTGATGGCGATGGTGAGTTACTTTACCACAAATTACATTTTCTACAAATTGTATAAATAGCTTTTTCAGGTAAGTTCTTATCAAACAAGAGCTCACCATGTAAAATCATGCATCCCTGTGTAGAGCATTTCGAATGATCATTGTGAATAAAATGTGCTAATTAAATACATAAACTTGCCTACATCTACATTTTTGACATCAATTGCTGTTCAATACAGATAAATGTGTTTCTCTTTTGAGAAAACGTGAAGGATACAGTCATGAGAAGGCCACCGAAGAGGAACATAAAGACAAAATCAGCGGTTCTCCCTCTGAAGGATCCCTCCTCCAGCATCCGACAGTACCGGTACCTGTGAGACTCCAATTAAGGAAACTCAGACTTATCCATTACACACACTGCCACCTTCACAATCTACTGATTTACTATCAATATATTATGTTTTAATAAGGATACAAAAATATCATGTTGAATAAGAAGTTGAACCCAACCGGACCAAAAAACAAAAAGTTGGTTATTATCCGCCATACCTATGAACACACACACACACACAAAATTAGAATCACACACTGCAATATTAACCCTATAATTATTAACCTAACTGTATCATATCCGATACATGATTTTCCAAGGCATAAGTTGATAATTATTAACATTATCAACAAAAGTATCACCATTTCCACCAAAATGCACAACTGTTCTCAACCATGATAATAACAATAAGAAGAAATGTAATCACATGCTGCAATATTAGCCCTATAAATATGAATTTCCAAGGCCTCTAAATTATCCAGATTAAAACTCACAATCAACTAAGCCTGCATGCCTTGTCATCTGATTGATAGTTCATACTTTTTCAGTAAGTAAAAGGCCTTTTAGTATGATCCTAAAAACACCCCTTCAGGTTGTGATGTAGGTGTTGCTGTAAAATCTCTGAACTTTTACTGGACTGTTTAGTCTAATCTTTAGAAAAATAACATGTTAAAAATATGAGTATCAAATTTGTTGCAACAGGCTTTTTGAGGAATCTCTCAATCATCATTGTATTGCATTATGTTTTGGCATCCTCATATCCACAATACAATCTCCAGAGCTTTGAGCATACATCCAAGCATTTAAATATCATGCAACTAAGACAGAGATATAGAGCGAACATGTATCATATTTATTTGCAGCTTATAATGAGTCAGATCTTACTGAATTATTTACATTACAACAAAAGAAATTACATATTTTTGTTCAGTGTGGGCCTCTGAATAAAAGTATGATATTCTCAGTATGTCATACTATATGGGCCATAAAAGCCTGATGTATCAAAGAGTACACAGACCATAAAACAGACATGGAAACTTTTTTTATTATTATTCTAAAAGGTTCAATTAATTGTTCTGTTTTTTCTGACTAGGATTGTATGTCAGGCTTTACATGAATACAAATAAAAAGAGGCACAAAACTCTTCAAAGAAACACAGCTGATGACACTTGCCTGATAATTCCTCAATATTAAATCGGGGTTGTAGTAAAGCTGGAAAGGTGTGATGAGTTCTAATTGCTGTGAACACAAAGTAAACCACAGTCAGATACGAATGACATGCTGTAGGTTAACAAACAGTGTACTGTTGCATTGATACTACACTCAAATAATAACTGATATCAAAAGTAAAGTTACTTTTAGCCGCCCGTTTGAGGTAAGTCAGCTAAACACAGGAATTATGAAAGGCAGAAAGGTCAACTGGAAACCAAACTAAGTGATATGTAAACCTAAAGCCACTACACTTAACAGGACTTAACATAAATACACATTTTACAGACGGGTTTACGTAAACGTGTCCCAATAACACCACAGCCAGTCTGCCACCGGATACCAGCTGTGTTTCAACTGCATAGGGACGAGGCCACGGATGACAATAGCGCTCAAGACCCTAATATTCGTCCAATTTACTTACCACGGCTGCTGTAGTGAGTACGCAGGCGGTGGTATAAGCTCTAGTAACCAAAGGAATCTGTAAATATTCCTGTCGGATTGTCTGGTATGCCATTTTTTGGAGGGACAACGCGGCTTCCGGCACCTTCTTGACACGTCATCACCTAAAGCAAATGGGTAAGCAAATGAGGAGGCGGTTTTAGTTTGTGATGTTTCCAATTGGTCAGCGCTTTGTGAATTCACTGCTCGGATTGGTCGTCTAAAGTGTCGATCATCGTGTTATCCCGGTCATTTGAAGAATGGCATATTTTGATTTGTTGGGAAAGATCGTCAATAAAAGTATGCAAATATTGTAGTGTTTGTTGACAGTTGCCACCTTTGGACTCCCTATTCATGCTTTATATGCATAGGTTATGGAAACTAAACAAATATTATTCATAATATTCATAAACAAGACTTTAGAATATATTTTAGGATCGACTGGTTTAACATAGGTTTAAAGTTTTATATATATATATATATATATATATATATATATATATATATATATATATATATATTTATATATATATATATGAAGAGTTCAGATGCAAAAGCCTCTAAGTGCCATTTGAAATTTTCTTCTAAAATGACCATTTTTATCAAGCTTGTATATTTAAGTTCAGTAATTTCACTTAAATGGCAATGAAGATTACCTATTAATTGTCATTTAAGTGAAATTACTGAACTTAAATATACAAGCTTGATAAAAATGGTCATTTTAGAAGAAAATTTCAAATGGCACTTAGAGGCTTTTGCATCTGAACTCTTCATATATATATATATATATATATACACTCACCGGCCACTTTATTAGGTACCCCATGTTAGTAACGGGTTGGACCCCCTTTTGCCTTCAGAACTGCCTCAATTCTTCGTGGCATAGATTCAACAAGGTGCTGGAAGCATTCCTCAGGGAGTTTGGTCCATATTGACATGATGGCATCACACAGTTGCCGAAGATTTGTCGGCTGCACATCCATGATGCGAATCTCCCGTTCCACCACATCCCAAAGATGCTCTATTGGATTGAGATCTGGAGACTGTGGAGGCCATTTGAGTACAGCGAACTCATTGTCATGTTTTGTCAGTCTGAGATGATTCCAGCTTTATGACATGGCGCAGTATCCTGCTGAAAGTAGCCATCAGAAGTTGGGTACATTGTGGTCATAAAGGGATGGACATGGTCAGCAACAATACTCAGGTAGGCTGTGGCGTTGCAACGATGCTCAATTGGTACCAAGGGGCCCAAAGAGTGCCAAGAAAATATTCCCCACACCATTACACCACCACCACCAGCCTGAACCGTTGATACAAGGCAGGATGGATCCATGCTTTTATGTTGTAGACGCCAAATTCTGACCCTACCATCCGAATGTCGCAGCAGAAATCGAGACTCATCAGACCAGGCAACGTTTTTCCAATCTTCTATTGTCCAATTTCGATGAGCTTGTGCAAATTGTAGCCTCAGTTTCCTGTTCTTAGCTGAAAGGAGTGGCACCCGGTGTGGTCTTCTGCTGCTGTAGCCCATCTGCCTCAAAGTTCGACGTACTGTGCGTTCAGAGATGCTCTTCTGCCCACCTTGGTTGTAACGGGTGGTTATTTGAGTCACTGTTGCCCTTCTATCAGCTCGAACCAGTCTGGCCATTCTCCTCTGACCTCTGGCATCAACAAGGCATTTCCGCCCACAGAACTGCCGCTTACTGGATGTTTTTTCTTTTTCGGACCATTCTCTGTAAACCCTAGAGATGGTTGTGCGTGAAAATCCCAGTAGATTAGCAGTTTCTGAAATACTCAGACCAGCCCTTCTGGCACCAACAATCATGCCACGTTCAAAGTCACTCAAATCACCTTTCTTCCCCATACTGATGCTCGGTTTGAACTGCAGGAGATTGTCTTGACCATGTCTACATGCCTAAATGCACTGAGTTGCCGCCATGTGATTGGCTGCTTAGACATTAAGTGTTAACGAGCAGTTGGACAGGTGTACCTAATAAAGTGGCCGGTGAGTGTATATATATAGTGAATGTGATGAAATTCTTGGTATAAATGTAACGGTAACACTTTACTTGAAGAGGTCTGCATAAGAACATGACACCTTCATAATGTTATGAATGTGAATTAAGTTTTATGCATGTTTGTGACAACTGTCATTGTCATTCGCTCAGTTATGACATTTTTAATGCAACTATGACATTGTTTGAGATGTCTTTGTTATGACACCTTGACATTACTAAGACAACACAACCACCTGTCATGAATATGTCATGACATAGCAGATTTCAATGATCAGCGTTACTGGTTAACATTACATTACTGTAAACTGTCAGGTGATTGGTGTTGACATTGGCTGTCATGAAGCCATTGACAAATTCAATTAGTACCACTGTAGGTGAGGTCAAGCAAAATATTCATGACACTGTGTGACACAATGTCAAAGCCAACCACATGACAGTTTAACTTAAGTTTATGTCAAGTTGTCATGACAAAGACACTGACAGGTATGTATGGTGTTATGGTTTAAGATGTCAAAGACATCTCAAACAATGTCATATTTGCATTCAAAATGTCATTATTGAGCGAAAGACACTTAATGACAGATGTCATAAACATACATAAACCCTTCTTAATATTCAAGACATATGTCATGGTTATTAAAAGTGTCAAGGCATATGCAAACCCCTTCAAATAAAGTGTTACCACTGTAACTTTTATTATTCATATTTTTGGCATACTGCTTCTGATATAATATATATTAAATATATATAATTTTGCTTCAAATCAAAGTTTGTAATGTTGTGATTCAACTGGTTCGGTTGTTTATCGAAGACCTTTTATAAATCCCTATGAGAAAAATGCTTCACAAACCAATGGCTCATGGGTTTTTAACTTTTTATTATTATTACTCTTTATTTCAGACCTATGGGTCCATATCAAACAAACAAAGAAGAACAAGAACAATACATACAGATATTATACATTGTTTCATAAAAAGGTCAAGTCGATTAACTAGGCATAGTTTCGAAAAATCTTCTGTTGACACCTTCACAGCAGTGCTCCCAATCAGCAGGGGGCGATACTGCACTTTCCAACATGATTTCACTGAGTGACGCATGAAGAAGGTTGAACTGAGCGCGGGCTGTAGAGATGGCAGAGAGCGGAGGTAACACGGATAAGCTTATTTATGTTATTTTATCTGTAACTCTAAGATGTTAGAAAGTATTTAGTCAGTTTTACATGTAGATACATGTTATTGTCATGGTTTCATACGGCTAGTTCTTTAATATTTTGTAATATTTTGAGAAACATCAGTAATTTACCCCTTTGAAACTACGACAATGCTACAAGCAATCTTTCATATATATATATTAATGTGTGTGTGTGTACAGTGCCGTTCAAAAGTTTGGAAACATTACTATTTATGTTTTGAAGTGCATAAGAAGTGCCTTATTTTCACCAAGGCTGTTTTTTATTTAATTAAAAATACTGGAAAATAAACGGTAATATTGTGAATTTTTTATTTGGTGTTCATTTTAATATACTTTAAACATATAATTAATTTAGTTGATGCAAAGATAATAAAAGTATTAATAAAAAAAAAAAGAAAGAAACAATTTACAGACCCCAAACTTTTGTATCAATGTATTAATCATCAAATAATTTTGAAAAAAAAGTCTCATAGGTTATTTAAAATATTAAGCAGCACCAACTTGATTCAATATTAGACTGATTTCTGAAGGATCATGTGACTCAAAGACTGAAGTAATGATGCTGATGAAAATGCAGCTTTGCATCACAGAAATAAATGATGAAGTTTTGTAAATTATATTAAAATAGATAGATAAAGTAAATTATATTAAAATAGAGAGAACCATTATTTTAAATAGTACTAATATTTCACAATATTACTTGTTTTTCCTGTATTTTAAATACAGGCTTGATGAGCAAACATTAAAAATAATAATGCATCCAAACTTTTGACTGGCACTGTACATCTATAAAATGTATGTATTTGTGGCCTTCAGTAACTTGCCTCTCTTATCACTAGTTTCAGTGGGATCTGAATCCCTCCAGCTGTATGAAGCACAGTTCTTTGGCTTCACCCCGGAGACCTGCACACTTCGAGTTCGTGATGCCTTTCGAGACTCTCTCAATCACATATTGGTCGCAGTCGAGTCCGTGTTTGTGAAAAGATTGTGTCCGGGCCGTGACCCGCCAGCAGAGCTCCGACTGACAGCCCGAGAGTGCACCCAAAAACTGCGACAGTTTTTACAGGAGCGCTTCGAAGTCATGTTTCAGCGCATGAAGGGGATGCTGGTGGACCGCGTCCTCTCCGTTCCTCAAAACGTCCTTCTGCCCGATGACCAGCTGCACCAGAAGCACCCAGCAGGCAAAGAAGAGCTCACCAAGCTGCAGGACTCGGTCGCGAAACTGCTACAGGCTTATGAAGCCGAGGTGTGCGCCAAGCAAGCGCTTCTCGCTGAGCTTGAGGAGCAGAAGGAAACGCAGAAACAGATCGATGAAGTGTTGAGATGGATCGAGGAACTGGGTCTTTCGTGGAGGCGAGAGGGAATGGGAAGTGTCCAAGACAGCGTCCGACACATGGTGGAGACTGTGGGCCAACTGCAGGACGTCGTAGGAAAGATTAGAAAGCAAAATAAAGGACTGGATGAGGTTTGATGCTTTATATGTAACATCTGAACAAGAGCTGTGGTGTAATAGCACGATCCATCCACCAGGGGGAGGCAGCGCGCAATCAGTTTGGGGCAATGACATTAACATACATGTGCCACAATCAGTCCAGCTTCAAAGCAATGCATGTGTAATCAGGCGATTTTCCTCAGACATTTGAAATGCGGTCCATCTCTTCTTCCTCAAAGTCGCTGGGTTTTCTCATTTACGATTCAGTGCCTTTGATGTTCAGTACAGTTAGATCTGCGTTAGATTAACCCAAATGTCCCACAGGCCCAAACTGATGTGTCCAACAGCCTGACTGGCTTTACACTTTACAGCAAGTTCTTTGAGGATATATTTTAAGGTATTTTCCTTGACGTTCAGAGGAGAATTGGCTTGTGCAGGACCTCATCGCCGCCACCCAAAGTTTGTTCACAGTCTCAGTCTTAAATATAGTACTTGGATTGAGTTGCAAGTGCAAATATAGTACTTAGATTGTTTTGGCCATGACTGTAAATAACAATAAAAAGCTTTTTGTGTTTGTATTGTGATGTATTTTTTACACAAATAAAATCAGTATACTGAAACACCATTTTTTTATTTTTATTATAATGGAATATAGTTTGTGTGTGTGTGTATGTATGCGTATATATATATACTGTATATACATGTATATATACATATATATATATGTTATAATGGAATATAGTTTGTGTGTGTATGTATGCGTATATATATACATACATATACAGTATATATATACTGTATATATATTAGTATATATATATACTGTGTATGTATGCGTATATATATACATACATATACAGTATATATACTGTATACAGTATATACATACATATTTATATATATATGTTCATGTTTACGTAATATATGTGGGTGCACTGTGTATTTTATATATATAAATACACACACACATGCATGTATATTTAAAAAAAAAAATTTTATTTATATATTGTATATTTATATATAGTCTAAATTATATATAAATCTATATACAGTATATACATGAAAATATTTCTTAAATATATGCAAGCATGTGTGTGCATTTATATATATATAAAATAATTATACACAGTGCACCCACATATATTATGTAAACACAAACTTTTATTTTGGGTGCGATCAATCGCGTTTGACAGCCCTAATATATATATATATATATATACAGTATATATGAAAATATATAAACATTCTTAAAGCAATATAACTTTTAAATATATTCTCTCAAAAAAATAGTTTTTAATCAATTACAATTGCGGTATTATTAACACGTCCTCTTGTGCCAAAACCTTGGTGTTAGGTTTTTTTTCAAGGAAGTTGAATTTTGAAGATTTTTTATTTTATGACACAAAATTATGTCAGAAGTTTATATTTTACACTGTCAGTAAAAATCTTCATAACAGTGTTATTTTTAGTATTATTGAAATTCTATGTTTATATATATATATATATTTTTTTTTTTGTTATTTTAGTGCATCAAGTATGTGAAAATCAGAAATGTTGCCTTGGCAGTTAGGCTACAATAAAATACATTTAAGGATCTTTTAAATATATCTCTTTTTTCTATTAAAAAGTGAAGAAAAAATCAGTGGATGACATTTAAGTACACATCTCTTAATATCTTCTCAGGAAAGGCCATTTTTCAAGTGTTCAGAAATCAAGATAAAGATGAAATAAGATTTGTTGGGAGTGTTCACCTTTACACCCAATGCAAGATGGAAATCCAATGACAATGCTATTCTCATGTAAAAATGAATCATATCTCTGGATTTGCTGGAGGGCATGCACCTAAACAAGGGCTGAGAGACAGACACAGTGGATTAGAAGAGGGAGACCCCCACAACCTGCCCGGCTCTACGTCTGCCTCTTTCATCACTCATTAAAGACGTATTCAGACCAGCTGGGGCCATCCACGGAAAAGTCAAGCTTGATGGAGGCGTCACAATCCGGACAGCCTGCCCTCAATCCCCCCTGCCAAGTCAGATTAGCAGGGTCTAGCAATAAAGACCCCTTATCTCCACACAACCACGCACTGAAAAACTAGAGTCAAAAAGCCCTCCTTGAGCCTGAAGATACTGAAGTGATGAGTTATGAGAGAACAGCAGAGTGGAACGCAACAAAATTTAATAAGGTTACGTCAGAGATCTTCACGATTAAGAGACAGATTGACAACATTCGCACGCAACGAATGGTATCTAATATCACAAAACACTGAAGGATTGTATTTGTGTTCACCTTGACCAGTATTATTAGAGAATCTGCTGTTGGTTTCCAAGCTACAAGCATGTTTTAAAGGGGTGATGAACTGAGAAATCAAATTTTCCTTGAGCTTTTAACATCTAAGAGGTCATCATATTATAAGAATATCCTGTAAGTTTCAGAACTGAAAACGTCCTTGTTAGTCCAATAAAAGCTTTTATTGACACCAGACTCTGCAAACGACTCGTTTATCAAAGTGGGGAACTATGACGTCAAAGAGGATAAAACACCACCCCGCAGAAGAAGATCAACGCCTACTGCCGGTTTAGCCCCACCCACCAATACGCGGATTACACGCACTAAATAACATACCGGTAGGCCTCGTGATGACAAACTAGACCGAGCTATCAAGCAATACAAAATATTGTGCAGTACCTGGTTGTGGAAGACGACAGTCGCTGCATAAGCTTGGATTCCAATAGGAATGCATGGTTAAACTTTATTTTTAATGACGTTCCACTGATGAGGTAAAACATCTGCGAACGTCCGTCTGTCAACTTCATTTCACTGAGGATTGTTTTGTAAACAAGACTGGATTTGCAGACCGATTAAGAGTATAGAACGGTGCTGTGCCGTCTATACTGGATCTGACAGGAATTGTGCAACACATGGACTCTGGGTCGAACATGTATGGGCGAATCATTCCCATATGAATCATCAGTTCTGAGCTAGGCTCAAAACTAGGGTAGAAAATAGCCTATTGCTTATTCATTTTGATGTTTTTGAATCCAAAAACCAAGCGAACGTCATAAGTTCACCACAGCCATAATAACCTTAATAATAACCGTCTTAACCTTTAACTATTGCCATCTGAAACCAATAACTTTATTTGACATAATGTGCCTATCTTCTTAACATTCAGTAATTAGCATAAAATAGTTAGCCTCTGAAAAAAAAAATCTAACTTTGGAGGTAATTTCATTTTTTAAACTTAACTCCTAGCAACATCAGAAAGTACTGCAGTGAACAATAAATAAAATATGCGCTACCGCCTTGAGAATCCCCCATTACTCTCCGAAAGACTCTCCACCAGAGGCAAACATGCTTGAGCGTATGAAGTTCAAAGCTCTTTTTTTATCCTCTTGTGGTACAAATGGGGAAAGCGAAAAAAAGACTATCTATTTCATTTCACTCAACTTGGTGAACACCAAATCTTCCCTCCTGGTTTATGCATAGACCTACCAGATAATTTGTGCAAGGATTTGCGAGATATAATGTATCTTAAAATTAATAACAATTTTTTAAAGGTAAAATTAGACTGTGAGAGACGTCAATACGGCCAAGTGGCTCATGCGGGCAATCAATAGACTCTTGAAAGCCCTGCTTGCAACAGCTAATCTACTCCTGCACAGTCAGAATGAATCAATTCTGCATACAGATTATCCATTTTAAAGCCAGCTCAGGGTTTTCTTTAAAAAAAGGCTATCAAATAAATCTATATGAACTGACGCAGTCATCAGATTTATTTATTTATTTTATACCATTTAATTCATTGGGTAAAGGGCTTCCTATGCAGCCAAATATATAAAATTAAATGTGACTGCATGATGTGATGTTGTTGATGTAGAGTGCTCTTTTCGCATTCACCTCAAGTGTTTTTGTTCAAATCTTTGATACAAACAGCCCACTTCTGTCCCTATTGCATTGCATCACACCATCGATGCAAGATCATTCTTTGCTTTGGGGATGTTTGAATCATCTGAGGCAGGGCCTCAAAGTTACGTGAAACGAAACCTTATGGCACTATCGATTTCCTCGCAGAAGGTAAAGTATCATATCTGAGCTAAAAATAGTCCTTCTCTGGCCAAACATCAAGGTTGCTTACTGAAGGTGTGTTTTTCAAAAAGTTCATAAACCATGTTTTTGTTAAATACTTCTTACAAAATTCTGTGATTTTTGCGAATGATAAACCAAGCTTTAGGTTGGCACACCGGAGGTGTTTGCTAAGGCAGTCATGACTTTTTGCTCATGCTTATTGGTATAGTTCTGAATTTCATTCTTCTCAAGAACACACTCACACACAAAAAGGTATTTTGAAGAATGTCAGAAACCAAACAGTTTTGGTGACCAAAAACACAACAAGTGCGACATTTCTCTAATTATTTTTTTATGTTTTTAATATTCAACAATATTATAGATCTGCCTTACTTAAGGT